CATTTAACAGTTTCAACAGTGAAAGGGTGAGAGCGAGATGCCAGCCTAGTTGAACGCTTAAAATTCATGAAGTCTGGGAACCAGCAAAAGCGGCTCCTCGGAGCAGTTACCGTGAAAGTATTTGTAAAAAAAGACAGAGGGAGGCGACGGTACGTCTGTGAGAGAGCGACTGCAGACGAGATGCCAGATCAGGGCCAATTACATTGCATATCCGTCTCTGGATTTTATCAAGAACCTGAGACAAACAGAAGGGGTTCCAGACCATATATGGCAGCAATACTCCATGCAAGGGCGAATGGTTGATTTGTAGATTTGAAGGGTCAATTGCAGGACAAAAATTTTCAGCGTGGACGAAAAATATTTCCTCTGGTATTTTCAATAATATTTCAGGTCAAACTGACAGGTGAGACTCAAAGTTATGGAGGTGCTCTTGTGGGTTGAGCGTCAGACATTTAATGGGGGCAGGGATGGTTCTCTCTGAAAACGTTAATATATAGCAGTTTTGTTTTGAGGCACTGGATGCTGAATAATCTTTTCACTTGAATAAAATCATTTTGCATATCAACAGAAATTTGGTTTACAAAGGATGCTGGGGATGCCATGGATCAGACATAAAGCAGCGACGAAGTTTTTAGAGAAAAAAGACTCTATTGATTAAATTCAAACTCGTCTTTTTTGAAAATTCTACACTTCCCATAAAAAGAGGGGCTTGGAAACTTAAAACTTGGGGCATGCCAGAAGGCAAGAGTAGCCGGAAAAATACATAATCAAACTTAGCAAACTTGTTCAAAAAAATGAAAATGGAAAGATCTAGAAAGGATAAATTTAAATGAATGTGATAAACGTCATGAAGGGGATTTTGTGTTTTATTTCCAAATTGTTCAAAAGTAATGGGGTCAAAGTTTCATCTAACCTTTTTTCAAGAATTATGCTGTTTTATGGATCTTGCTGAATGCTCTTTGAATCGAATCGAATATAACATAATATACCTATATGTCCATCGTCTAGATATTTCATGTTGAATTAAATATATGTGAGAGACTAATTTGTTTTATGATTGTCCCTTTCCTCAAAAATGTTATTAACACCAAAATGTGTGTTTATATTGGGGATATATACATTTAGTAGTTTATTTTGCAGATTTTAAATGTGCATATTAGGGTGCTGGCAACTAGTCATGTTCGGCATTTTTTTGCTTTCTATTCTGTCTTTTCTATATGTGCATATTTGCTAATAGGTAAAGCATTACACCGTTAAAATAAAATGGAAATGGAGTTCTTATTTAAAATACCATAAATGGCCAACCTCTCAGATTTTCTGTCTATAATTTGTGTTTGTCTCTATTTAATGTCTGACAAAAATTTATCATTCAGAGGATGTAAATTATTTAAATATGCCCTTATCTGACTTATACCTATTTAGCCATCAGTTTCTTTGAGATGCATAGCCATTTCCAAGATTCGAAGACAATTCCAGTTATTTAACATAGATTGTTGGCTGGGGGAGATTTCTTTTTGTTTTATATATTTGGTATTAGCATAGATTTAAATGGATTTTCTTGAGGAGAAACTGAATTCTAGAACTATATAAGCAATTTCTATCATATATATATTACTCCACCATGAAAGACTTTCTTGATTAAACACACTTTTTTTATATTTTGTTATAAATTATTTATATATAAAATTACTTAATCTTTGTTTATTTAAACAAGAAAATGTTGCATTAGTCTTTTTGAATAGTTGATGCTTTTTTTTTTTACTGTAAAATGCAAAATTGAACCTTGAAGAAAGAGAACAAAATAACTCTTCTTTGTTTTCTTTTTTTCTTCTCGATAGAAGCATCTCTTGCTAACTTTAATATTGGTGTCTGGTCCCTTTCTTTTCGAAGAGCTTCTTTCTTTACAGATTATTTCTTTTCTTCTTAAGCTTTTTGTTCGTTTTATTGCTACTTATTTTGTGGTGAAAATAAGAACACTAAATTTTTGCTGATTATTGCTTTCCATGATAGCACCATTAAGAATTTGGGTGGAACATAGTTTCAACTTTTTCTTTTTTGAAACCAGCTTTTCTTTTATTTGCCTCTTTATATTTTTTTTTTTCTTTTTAAAATCTTTTTATTATTACCAACCAAAAAAAATTTAAAATAGTTTTTCTGATTTTTTCCATCACCTCCCCAACTATTTCCTTCTTTCCTTTTCTTATATTTTTTTTACAAAAGTAATGCCTCATGTTTTTTTTTCTTTCCTTTCTTTTGATATGCCTCTTTACCAAAAGAAATTTTTCTTTCTTTCTTAAATTTGTTTTTTGTTTTTAAATCCTTTATATTTTTCAATTTTTCTTTTTTTTAGAAAAATGAAATTTCCTTTAAATAAATGTCCCGGAAATATGGAAAATTGGATCCTCAGTTTCAGAAATCAATCAAAAGTTTTTTAATTTTTGAACATAATCTTTATATGTTGCTTTTTTTATGTAAAAAGAGAAAAAAATGGAATAATTATTAAATTGATCAAAATGACGGTTAAAAAATGTAAAAACAAGACTAAATTTTAAATTTTTATATTAACTTTTCTATATTCTCAGCAACTGTCTATTCGTGAATAATTAAATTGCAAAACAACAAATGCTATTTATCTTGATTGAACAATGTTCTCTTTTGTTGTCCCAGGAAGAACCAAATTTATATGGTTTATTTATTTTTTGCACAATTACTTTTTTTTTTAAGGAAATTTTTGTTTCTTTTATAGTTTTTCATAATTGTTTATTTTTTTTTCTGCCTTTAATTAAAAACAAAAGACTTTGATTTTTTTGTTATCACCTCCTTTAATCTGATATTTCGCTATTCAAAATCTTTCAACTTTCTTATATTGAAAAGAATTTTGAATGTGCAAGCAAATCACAAAACTTACACAAAAACTTTGCATATATAAACAATTTACCACGACATAATTTGTTTTCATAGTGTATTTTTGGAAAATATTAAAAGATTCTTTTATTGACAGAATTTTTAACCAGAGTTTCATTTCTCTTTTATTTAATGAAATTTTCCATGCATATGAAATTGTTTCATTCTTTCTTTCTAAATTTCTAAAACAAAGCCTTTCTTATCCTGAAAAAAAAAATTCTTTCTTTCTTTCTTACATTTTGAAGTGATCTAAAAATTAATAAAAAATTTTTTTTCATTCTTCTACAATCGTCTGAAAAATAGAAAAAAGAAATTGTTTCTTTAAAAACAGAATAAATTTTTAAGAGATGGAATTCTTTCATTTTTTCGTATTCAGTTTTTCTTTAATTTGGATTTTTTTTCAGCTCGATTTTCAAATTTCATAATTGCAAGATAATTTTCTGATTTTAAGAAAAAAATTAAAGAAAAATATAAAAACTTAAAATATAAGAATTATAAAAAAAATTTACGAATTTAAATATATTGTATTTTTTTTAAATATAAATGATTGAAAAGAGAAAAAACACCTAAAAAAAAGAAAAAATTAACATGAAAATAAGGATATTCAGAAAAACATTCATCGGAAAATAGTGGCCAGTCTTCCAATTTAAGGCAAAATTAGAACTGTGTCAAAGTAGATTTTTAAAATATTTTAAATGAAATTGTCATGAATTGAATCATCCTTTAATAAACACTCTAACGTCTATATATAAGGCATTATATAAAGAAACGTTTGCAGTTGCTTATCCAGACGACTGAGTATCAAGATTTACCGCCCTTTTTTTTTTTTTTTTTTGATCCAATATTTAACAAAAAAACACAGTAGTTTTGACCAATTTGAATAAGTATTTCACAGGCCTAAACTGGTTTTTGAACTTATAAAACAAACTTATTTAACAAGTTCAAACAGTTATTAGAGAATTCAGTTTGAATCCTGAGCATTTAAAAAAAAACACAGGACAGGTCCAAAATAAAGAAGTAAGCCATTTGTAACTCTTTTTTTTTTTTTTTTTTTGTTTGTAAGCCCAATGTCGTTATTTGACGTTAAAACACGTCTTTAAAAACGATTTTTTTGTATTCACCAAAATTTCTATAAAATTTCGTTAATTGTATTAGATTTATTTTACGCCATACCTAAAAATAAGTAGAGCAAATTATTTGTTTAACCTATGGGCAAATAATAAATCCACTCAATTACTGTGGTCAAATGGACTAAAGTTTGATTAAAATATTTTTGAAAATACGAGATTGCAAAGTAATCCATTTTATAGATAATAATGTAAAAATTGCTTTACGGAACACACGCTTAAATGTATTTTCTTTTTATTTCCTAGATTGATTCAATCCATACTCCTTCCACAGTAATTGATCAAAAGACCAGAATTTTTTTTTAACTAGATGTTATTTTAATTTATATTGTTAAAAAATGTTTTGATCGACATTGTCTTGTTGAAAAGAACAAGGCACAGTCTTTAAAACTTTGGATCCATTACATATACAAAAAGAGTGATATATATATTAAATGGTTAAATATTGATAAACTTGAATTGAACTAAAATGCCAATCGAGTTAGATAACTGGTAATCCATTTAAAGAAACAAAATAATGGCTCCAATAGAACTAGAAACAGAAGATTGTAGTGAAAATGAAGAACCTCGGGGTTTAGAACCAATGTCAAATAGATACAACGACAGAAACGCAGACACAGAGAAGTAAATACAAAACAAACGAGAGACATTAGATAAGAAAGATAAACAGAAGATACACGCAATAACACAGACACACACACACAGGGAATATTACAGATAGATAGATATATAATAAACGATAGATATATAGGCATATATATATATATATTTAAGTTAAACCAGTTGAAAATTAAAATAGCAGAATGATAGGATATATAGATATATAATAAACGAATGCAGAAAGAAGGTTAGATATTTAAATATAAATAAGGAAATATGTATAATTAGATAGATATTATATAGTTTCTTTTAAGCGGAGAAATGTAAAATATCAGAGATAAATGAGACTATTTTTTTTGCCATTAGATATTATTGAGCAGTTTGATAGATAGATAAAGAAAAGTCAATGAATCTATATAGATGTTTAGAATATATGCTTTTCAAGATAGATAGATGAATATGAATCTGCCGAAAGATAGATAGATATACTGCACATAATAATAATATAGGCAAATGGACACATCAAAACATAATGCCCGAAGAACGAAATGTAACACACACTTAACACAGACACATCCAGAAAAAGCTGAACCATCTTAAACAGATTTTTTAACCTATTTTCACCATAATTCAAGGCCGGCTTAAATCAGCTATTTTTGAGTACCAAAAGCTTCAGAAAAGTAGACGCCTAAAGATATTTAATAAACATTTCTATATTGTACTTGACATTTGTCAATATGAACAATTTTATTAAATTTTTTTATTAGTATTTTTTTTATTATTAGTATTTTATTATTAGTATTTTCAAGTATTTTATTAGTATTTTTATTGTTCTTATTTTTTAGTATTTTATAGAACCGTTTCAAAATTAGTATTTTTTATTAGTAGTATTTTTATTAGTAAATTTTTATTTATTTTTATTAATATTATTTTTAGACAGTATTTTTTATTAGTATTTGTTGTGTATGATACACCTAATTTATATAAGTGGGAGTACCGACCATAAATATGGGTTGGTACCGGAAGACGACGGAAGATTAAGAGATCGAATCCAGAGACTCTGTTTTGACTGCGACTTAGTCAACCCATTCTGCAGGAACAGTCTTCCCAAGAATATACCAAAACTACCTGTAAATATTGTGTACCTTTTTCATTGTTTCAATACATTTTGTTACGTACATTTTGTGTTGTATTATTATTATTCCATGCTTATTCAAGCTTCAGTATTTTTATCTACTTCAAGTAAGAAAATTTATTAGTAGTATTTTTATTAGTATTTTTTATCATTATATTTTTATTGAAAGTTTTTTTTATTAGTATTTTTTATTAGTATTTTTATTAAATAGTATTTTATTAGTATTTTTTATTAGTATTTTTATTAGTATTTTTCATGATATTTTGATAAAAACAATGAAATAAATTATTCCATTAATTTAAATTAGGCGTGAACATTAAGACTCGAATTATTGAAAATATTAAATTTAATCTATTAGCTTGAAAAAAAAAATAAATTAAAATTTTAAGAGATTTTTTTTTCATTTTTAAAAATATTTATTTAAAACATTAGCAAACGTTTTATTATTTTTTAATTTTTTTGGATGAAAATCATATAAATTAGGTGCCCGGAAAAAAGAAATTGGTAACGGATATACTTAATCGGTAACCCGATATAAGTTGACTTGATATAAGAGAAACCCAGATATAAGAGAGATTTCATTGGTCCCAAATTAGAGCCTGTGTTAATGTATATAAATTAGACCAAATTGCTTCGATATAGAATTCTGGATATAAGAATTTTTATTTTTCCCGACAACTTTTATATCCGGGTTTCATTGTATATATAATATATATATATATATATATATTATATAATTAACGGCCACATCCTTCAGAATGCTTGCCAAAAAAAGCGATATATGTCGTACAAACAAAAAAATGATCTGATCAGTTTCTTATCAAACCACCTTTCTAAAATTAAATCTAGCCACTTTACAGGTTTGTATTTGAGAGATAAAAAATCTACAGTCCGGAATACTTGTTTTTTAAAGAAGAAAACATTCAGAAATTTTCAAAATCCTACAATACTTATCATTTCATCCACAATGCAAGAAGAAATCAAAACAAAATAAAACAACTGAAACAAAAATAATAACATAACTGGAAATAGTAAATTACATGAAAACAGATTTTACTACAAATTCAACCAACACTGTCACGTCCAGAATAAATTTCCCATCTAAATAATCTTAAAATAGTCACAAAAACTTCGAAACCATTCTAATATATTCAGATCCCTGAAAACTAATCGCAATTTTTTTTCGTAGCAATATATAAAAAATCCGACATATTAGATAACAAATGACCAACCTATTTTAATTCAATAGGAATGAACATGTTTCAAAAATTCCCTTCTTTTGAAAAAATTAATTTATATAATTTTAAAGGTCGATAATTGGTTAATTATATATTTGAATTTGATTTTTTAATTTTCGATTTTTGAAAGGGAATAATGTAAATTTTGGAACCATATTTTAAATCAATTAATGTGTCTAATCGAAACATTTTACTCTGTAAGGCTTAAATTGCCACTGTTTTGTAAACATATTAATAAGAACATTGTGGAGAATGCACACACACACACACATATATATATATATATATATATATATATATTTATATATTCGTTATATATATATATATATAATTTTATGAACTATTCTTTTTTTATCGAAGAGAGGAGAACTTTTGGTTCAGAAATAAATGCGCAAAATAAATTGTGTGTCTTTGTATAAAAAACTTTAAACCATAATAGTAACAAAATCCGGTCAACAATGAACAAAAAGATTTTGTAAATACCAAGTGCATGAAAGGGTTTTCTTTCGCCTGTTTATTAGGTGTTTTGAATTAAAAACAGTTTTTTTCACTTTGTGCAGACTCACACACACAACCATACAGCAATATAACTTTTTTACTATAAGAAATAAACATGTATGTATGTATATACTAGATGTATATATATATATATATATATATATATATATATATATATATAATTTGGTTAAGACTAGCTAAACTAGATTTTTTATTTTGTGTGTGTACAAAGATTAAATTTTAAAAACTTAAAGCAGTTCCAGAAGGGTGAATGGAAAAAAATTGTTACAAAACCAAAAAATGCTCTCAGAATCACTGAAAATGAATGGAGTCAATTATCAAAATTTTAGCAACTTTTCCAAAGAAATGCCAAAAGTCTATAATGCAGTAATCAAGGCTAAATAGGGATATTTTGCCAAGAGCTGAATTTAATCATATTTTTTATTGTTTTGTTTTTGATAATAACAGTTCCTGATAAAAATCATAACTCGTTTGTTTTTTTGTTGTTCGAATACTTAAGTGCATAATAATTTTATATTTATTTAAAGAATGAAACAAACTACTTGGGTTTTAATTTTAAAAATAGCAACGCGTAATAAAAAACCTTTGACAAGAAAGGTATATATATATATATATATATATATATATATATATATATATATATGAAAAAATTTGGGAATGGAACTAATGTCTTTAATTTAATTACAAAAATTAAATAGCCTGAACTTCCATTTTGCTGTCCGTATGGTTAGAATTGTGTAGCGGAAAAACACATTTTAAAATCAATTAATTTATGATATTAAATGTTCTGTAAATTTTACAATTGAGGATATTATTTTGAAAATAAAAAATATCTATAAGAACACCGGATTATATATGCTTTGATTTCTTTTTATTTATACACACACACACACACATAACATACATTAACATATATATATATATATATATATATATATATATATATATGGTTACATTGGTATCCATTTTAAATCTAAATATATTTAACAAAAAAAAAATCGGTCGGATTGATAAAAAAAAATACATTATTTCATTTTAAAAATTGCTTTGTTTACGTTAGAAAAGAAAACAGAGTCGGATATGTGTGATCCGAGAGTTGGAGACGAAATATGTATTTAAAGGATCTTATTCAGATTTTGTTTATATTCATCTATTTTATCGCGAACATGGGTTCCTTTGATTATCTATCAATCTGGTTTAAATTATAAATTCATTTCTTCATATCTAGCTAGAGATTCATTAATAGGATTGAGTGGTTTCTTTAATTTTATTGGCATCTCAGTGAGAAGAAGGATTTATCAAATTAAAACCTATTTAGCATTATGTGTTAGGTTTACTGTATTCAGGTCTTTTAAAACCGTGTGGATGTTTCTCTGAACCAGCAATATAATCAAAAATATATTATTACCTATTGCTTTAGAACATTGTTATTATTATGTTTTTAAATAAAATATATATGTAATAATACTGAAAGAAACTGGCGAAACCACCCAGACCCGGTTACGGAGATAGGATTGAATCAATTTATGGGACTTGAATACACACTGACAAAACAGAACAAAAGCCAACCGCACAGATATTGTTATTAAAGAACACAAACAAAAAAGTGCCTCCTTATTGATATGGCAGTCCCTAATGTTGACTGCAATGTATCTTTGAAGATATGCAAAAGCTCACAAAACAAGGACCTTGAAACAGAAATCTCAAAAATGTGGCATATGGGGAACATCAACAAACCCGTTGTGGTAAATTCGAGGACTGGGAAAAAGATTGTAGTAGACTAATTGAAGATATAAAGTCTATGCCTCAAAAAAGATGCAAAAATTGTTCTGACGAAAGTACAGCCGACACTTTACGAAGTGCTTTATACGTAATATATATATATATATATATATATATGTGTGTATGTATATCTGTGAAAGTGGCATGATGCAATTTTAACTGATATATCTTATTCATTACTTTTAAGAAATGTAAACGCCAAATTCAAAGAAATAATAATGATAATTGATAATAATAGACAAAATAAAATTTAATTATCTGAATAAATAAAAAAATAAAATTTGGAAAATTTCTATATAAAGACAATAGGGACTTTCCTGCACAAAAAACGAATCCCTTATAAGAGATGTGTGTGAATCATTTTTTTTTTTGTTATGTGAACTGTAAGAAAAGACAGAATATTTATATACTTGTCCGGGATATTATGCAGATAGGGAATATATATAATTATAGAATGGAGTAAAAAAAATAGCGGCCGGGTGAAAATTCGAGATACGTGTTCGAATATATATATGAATCCATTGCAAGGTAATTATATATACAACTTGAAAGGTATGTGATTTTTCAAACGTTATGGGTAACAGGACAGAGGACAGATAGAAAGGTGGTCATCCCAGGAAAAATGACGAGGCAGTTTTTCTTCCCGGATTAGACGGGATAATATATAAATAATCCTGGATATTTATATACATGCGTTGGAATATATATATACACATTATTTCGTATGGCAGGTAACAACTAATGTTACGGAGTTAATATGTGCCGTGCTGTGTGTAAAATTATTACGTGTAAATATAAATGTTACGCTAATAGA